GTGTGCCCGTGGAAGCAGGCTCCCATGGGCCAGGGGAGACACTCAACCCACTCGGTGAACCCCACTCCGGCTTGGGGTGCAGCCTCCCCTGGGGGTCCCACCGGGAACCCACTGTGCACGCCGGAGGCCCCTCACCCTCCTGGTACCCTGCCCAGGGGTACACCCTCAGCTCCCCGCCCACCAGGCACCCCATTCACAGCCCCCCGATGGCCCCCGACGGCGGCCGTCCAGCTCCAGGGCAGACCCCCAAAGGCCGCGTGGTGACCCACACAGCAACAGGGAGACCACCAGGCCCCCACCCTGTGGCAACCCTGCGCCACGGTCCCCACACTGCCCCCCCACCCCCAGGGGGGGTCCCCGGGGGCCCTGCCCAGGGAGGGGGAGGCAGCTCAGGGGGTGCAGGCCCAGCCCACCAGGGGCGTCGTAGCGGTCCACCTCCTCGTAGGACACCGACATGACGGGGTGCTTGAGCTTCTCCCGGAAGTCCGTGATGGTCTGGTAGACCAGGAAGACGGCCACGGCCATGAGCAGGAGGTAGATGAGGATGAGCAGCACCGAGAACACGTTCTGCAGGCAGGCTCGGCTCACGCGCAGGCTGCTGGCCGCCGACTCGCTGTCCAGGCCTGCGGCAGGCGCCAGGGACCGTGAGCACGGGCAGCCCAAGGGCGACCCTCGCCAGAAGGCCTCCGCCTCCCTCACCCCCACGTTGTGCCACACTAACCTCTTTTGTCCCTCCAGCACCCCTCACTGGAACCCCACACCTGCGCTCCCGGCGCTGGCCCCAGCACAGCCCCCCTCACCCGGGCCCCGGCACCTGCGCCCCCCAACATGGCCTGCTAACCCAGCCCCCCACCTCCGGCACGCGCACCCCTGCCCTTTCCTGCAGCAGACGTCCAGCTGTGAGGCCGGCCGCAGTCGCACCAGCACAAGTCCCTGACCAGGGAGGGACCCCCAGGGCGCAGCAGACCCCTCCTGTCTCCCCGCTGCTCCCCTCAGCAGTGGGCTTCGTCCATCTGCCTGCTCTGCTCCCCGCTCTGTCTCTGGGGAGTCCTCTCACCGCCCCTGCACCTCGGGCCTGCACCCCGGTTCTGTGTGCGTCAATAAATAAATCTTTAAAAAAAAAAAAGAGTAACTAATATCAAAGCGAGATACTTGCCAAGTACTAGACTTTAATATGCCACTTACAAGTATGAACAGGCCCAAAGAACAAGGAAGGAAATTACAGCCTGAAACGAGGGGCTCGGTCGAACAGGCCCTGCAGCCATCTCCGCACCCCGCTCCCCACCCAGCGCCAGCTCACACGTGACGCTGCGCGCACGGGGAGTGTTTCAGAACGACCCATGTTGCGGTGTGCCAGTCCACTGTCAGGAAGACTGACGTCACCCCAGCGCTTTCTGTCCAAATGCCTTGAAGCTGAAAAGCAACTTAAAAGAAATCAACAGGAAACAAAACAAAACACCGAGGCTACAAGCAACACAATTTATGGGCTGCAGCCAAAGCAACCCAGGCCCAGACGAGGTGGCAAAAACCCAAATAAACAACACTCCACCTACCGCACCTGCCAGAGAGGCGCAGGCGAGACCGAAAGTTAGTAGGAGGAAGGAAATAATACAAACAAGAGTAGAAATAAATGAAGCAAGTCAAAAATATCTCAGTGAAAGTAAGAGTTGGTTCAAGCAAAGCGAAACTGACAAGCCACCCGCTAAACTGAAATGGAGACATCAGTGAGCAGGGGAGGGCCCGGCGGGTGGGGGTGCAGCCGCTTCACTGGGAGCTCGAGGCCCTGCCCCGGAGGGGACCCCCAGGGCGCAGCAGACCTCTCCTGTCTCCCCGCTGCTCCCCTCAGCAGTGGGCTTCGTCACTCTGCCTGTTCCGCTCCCCGCTCTGTCTCTGGGGAGCCTTCTACCGCTCTGCACCTCTGGCCCGAGCCCCAGTTCTATATGAGTAAATAAATCAACCTTTAAAAAGACAGTGACTCCGTCAGGCTCAACCAGAACCAGACAGAACAGCTGAATGACCCAATGAAGCAGCAATAAAAAAAGCTCCCAAAAAACAGAAGTCCAGCGGCAGATGAGTTTTTAAGTGAATCCCATTAAAACTTTAAAGAACTCACATCAATCTTCCTCAAATTATTTCGAAAGACTCAAGAATAAGAAATGCCCCCAATGCATTTTATGCGGTCAACCTTCTGGAATCCCCAAACCAGACAAAACAGTACCAAAAAGCTACTACAAAACAATGCTCTACTGGAAAATCTAAAAAAAAAAAGATTATACATAAAGATCTGGGGCACAGAGCAGCGGTGCAGAGGCGGTGAGAGGACTCCCCAGAGACAGAGTGGGGAGCAGAGCAGGCAGATGGACGAGGTCCACTGCTGAGGGGAGCAGCAGGGAGACAGGAGGGGTCTGCTGCGCCCTGGGGGTCGCTCCCTGGCCGGGGATCGAACTCGGGCTGAAGCAGCTGCTGCTGGCTTCGCTTCGTAGTGCTGCGCCTCAACTCGATGCACCAGCAGGAAGGGCCCTGATGGGACCATCTTCAACAAAATATTAGCAAATCAAAATCAACAAGACCTTCAAGGGATTGCACGTCGTGATCAAGTGGAATTTATCCCAGGGAGACAATGATGGTTTGACAGATGTAAATCAATGCAATGTGTGGGGCAGATGGATAGATTTACACATATATAGTGATAGCGTTCTCATCTTCATACGCGGCGGAGTATTACTCAGCCATCAAAAAGGACAAACTCATGCCACTCACAGCCACAGGGTTGGAATTGGGAGGGATCATGCTCAGAGAAGTAAGGCAAAGGAAAAAGAAAAACACTGTTTGGTTTTACTCGTAGGAGGCCGGAGGGGGAACCAAAACTCAGGCATTCAGCAGGGGAGGTGAGGAAGAGCAGAGTCCTTGGTCATGGTTTATAGGTGTCTTGGTGGTGATCATTTTGTGCGGAGAAATCAAACTTGTACAAAGATGCTCAAGGCCGTAAAAATAAGTAAATAAACTGGCATTTTTTAAAAAGAAAGAAGATACGAGCAAATTGAAGACAGCCCACGAAATGGGGTGCTATTTACCCATCACGCAACTGCCGTGGGGTTACCAGCCAGGGGGCCCAAGAACTCGCCCAATTAACGGGAAAAGCCAGCCAAGAGGTGAGACACTCGTCACGAGAGGCGAGGCAAGGCCGCGCGGGCCTTGTGCGGGAGGGCCACTGTGGAAAGTGGCCTGACTTGACGGGGGCATCCCTGGCTCAGGGGTCCTGGAGGCCGCAGACCGCCCCTCTGCAGAGCCGCCGGACACGCCCTTCTGCCCCTCAAGATGCGGAGCTCCCTGAGGGCACAGCCAGCCTGTGCCTGGCACTGGGCCCAGCCTTTCTTGCATGTGGCACCGTGCGGGATTCTGCTTCATGTGCCGAGCGGCCATCTGAGACGGTCAGCGTCCGCCGACACCGTCTGCCCGGCTCTCAGCCCCAAGCCCGGGTCACTGTCCATCACGACTGGCTCCGATCCCCGTGGCAAAGCCCTAGTCCCCGATGTGAGGTCACTCAGACCCGGGCCAGCAAGAGAGAGTTAAGGCCAAGTGAGGCATCCGGGGGGGGCGGCCCGGGGGCCCCCAGAGCGCTCCAGGAAGAGACACCAAGGACATGCATGCAGAGGGCCCGACCGACAGCTGACAGACACGAGCCTGAAAGGAAAATGCACGCACATGCACGGCTTGAGGTCCGGGACCTGGACCTGGACCGCATCGGCTCCACGCCACGACAGAAACTCTGCCCGAGGACGCAAACGAAACCCAGGATCTCTAGCACGCGGCCTTGACTGCGTCCAGCACCGAACGGCAGTGACCAGACACTCAGAGAAGCAAGCCAGCGGGACCCAGAGCCACACGGCCGTCTGCCCGCACAGCCTGAGCCGGCGCCGGGCTCAGCTCAGAGCCTCTGCCCACATCGAGGACCGAGGGGCAACCCCCACACAAAAGGGGTCAACAGCAGGAAACGGGGAGACAGAAGCTATAACACGAACAGCGCTAGAGCTAACCAGAAACTCAGGCGACATGAAAACTCCCCTGGACAGCAAGCAGGTGGCGGGGCAAAGGGGCCGAGGTTAACGAGCGGGAATTAGTGAGGCTCAGCGCCACCCGCACCCAGAGCCCGGCGTCCACCGTCAGGCCCCGCGCCTTCCGGGTCAGCACCATCCAGGCTGCAGGTGCTGGCCACGGAGGCCAGAGGCGTGGAAAGCCTGATTCCTTCTGCCCCGACAGCTGTGTGGCCCCGCACCACCCCCGGAAGGCGGCCCGAGGCCCTGGGCGCCTCCGGCCCCGGACAGCGTCCACCGCCTGGCGGGTCAGGGCGGGAGGGTCGGGCCAGGCGGCCGTCCGTGGAGACTCGTCCGCCGCTCACCCCGGCCACTGGCTAGGAGACAGACAGAGAGGGCGGGAGAGACGGACTCGGGCGTTGGCTCAAATCACCGCATCTTCTTACGAGCGCAGACAGAGCTGGCCAGCGGCCTTGCGGGCGGAGGACGTCACTGGTCCCCGCAGACACGCGGCCGGGCGTGGCGGCCTGCGGGTACACACGAGGGCCCGCTGTGCGGCTGCAGGACTCGGGGGGGCC